TATGCTTAATATATCAAACTTAATACAATTCTCATTTCAAATCACAATTAAACATTTGTTTAAAATCCATCCCAATATTTCAAAAACTTACCAAAATAGTAATTTACTAATCACTTCAATTCCATCTCAATCACCATATTCAAACATTCTAGCAATGTTTCCAAACTAGTAACCAACATTAACTTAATTACCATTTGATTCCCAAATTTATACAACATTCCAAAACGATCTAATTGAACTTTCTAACATTAAATTTCAGCATAGAACATCAAATTTCAAACAATTATAATTCAATCCTTTAATTTTCCATAATATACAAAATCATCCATATAAATTTACAATGTTCCAAATTGATTCAAACAACTTTCCAAAAACATGTAGAATTATTCTTATATCCATTCTAGCCCTTAGGAAATTTTTTTATATTTTCCCTAAATTTCTTCACCATGGTCAAATAGTATATGATTGAATTTCAATGATTCCTAATTTGATTCAAACATGAATTCAACCTCCATTCATATTTTCCATGAAATCCAAAATCACGTCTAAATCAATTTCATTTCAAGCAACCAATTTCCTACAAAAACCTAAGCATGGCCAAAACTTCTATAAGCATTTCTACATGATTTTAATCATCACACACACTTGGAAACAACTATACTATATCACTAACACAAAAACCAACATTAAAGCATCAGATTTTGACTTCCCTTCATCCTCCAATTTCATGAAATCAATCTTCGAATCGAGAACAACATGAAACACTTATACCATATGATAGAGAATTTGATGTAGGTTACTTTTCTATTTCATGTCTTAATTCAAAAATCGAAAGAAATAGCTTTGAGAATTGAAAAACAAATTTTTTTTCTTACCAAAGTGAAAGCTCACAACAAGCTTGAAGAAGATGGAGGCATTGTTTTGAAAATTCTATGAAAACATCTTCTAACACTTGTCTTTTAACCATTTAAAATTTATTTAATTCTAATTTACCTTTTTACCATTACTAAAACATAACAATATCCATATTGCCATTATTATGACATCATCTTGATAACATCATCTTCAAAGTCAAACATGAATAAACTTTTCCATACTTTTCACTTTATCCTTATAATTTTTAAAAATTACAAATTAGTCACCATTATTAAACAATGTAGTTTTAATATGGAAAAATCAAGCTTCAAATTTTCCTAAATTTTTTTTCGATTCGATTAGTTCAATATTTTATTGAAATTTATTGCTTCATAGCTTTTTATACAAACTCCATATCAAAATCTGAATTGCATACAAACTCAATTCATAGGGATGAACTAGGAGAAAAAAATTATTTTTGGGAAAATTACCATCTTGGTCATTAAACTTTTTCAATTTTATACTTTGGCCACTAAACTTTCAGAATTTATATTTTGGTTACTTGCTAAAATTATGGTGTATTACAATTCTCCCCTTTAAGAAAATTCATCCTCAAATTTTCAACACATAACCTTTTTCAAAAGATGAAGATACTACATTTTCATTTTGTCCTTCACATTCCTGTATAACTCTTAACCTTATGGTTTTTTCAAGGAACTTTAACAAATAGTACACTTAATTTCTAAGTTCATTAACTCTTTGCATTAATACCTTAAATTGTTCGTCTTCATATTTCAAATCTGATTAAATCTTAATCTCCTTTGATGTAATAATATGCGGAGGATCTAAATGATACTTTCGAAGCATCAATAAATAAAGCACATTAAAAATATCATTCATTTTCATAGATAAAGCTAATCAATATTCTCCAAAAGTATACTATTTTTATCTCAATATTTTAAACACCAATTTCAAATAGCTATTTTAGTATGGAGCAGACATCAATCTTTTAAACACCAGATCAATATCAATGACATCCTAGTGGCATGTATACTATTTTTAACACAAAACATGTTCGATTTAGGCCTAGAATCAACTAAACTTGTAGTTATGATACCAATAAACTTAACAACCTTAACCTGTATACGTACCCAAATATGAGTTAAAGATGTCATATTAAATACTTGAAATATTTATTACTCGAAAATTAGTAGAATTTTATGTCTTTTAAAACATGACATGTTGACAATTTACATACATTTATTATTCGTATACGTGCCAACTAGTAAATCAGAATACAATAGGATGTCATTAATGATATATGTAATTATTCCTTGATGATTGATGTCAATCTCAACTCCTTACTCCATTTGCTCTCTTTTGCCTTTGCGTGAAAATCATCACACACTAAATATTCACTTAGTGAGGTATGTACAAACTAAAGTAAAGCATTTCAGTATATAATAACTTCATAATAATCAAAGTACTGAAGTTATCATATAAAAATATATGAATATATAAACTGACTTATTAAAGTCATTCATTCATTATATAACCTGTAAAACATCGTTTCTTATATATAAGGTATTTTATGCCAATCAGAGTATTCAATAAAATATTTACTTCAACCAACAAATCAAAGTTGTACTTTTCACTGTGATAACAAGAGTATAGTTACTGTAGAACACAACATCACTATACTATATATTAATATGGAAATTCATAATGTCACAACATTATTAATCCATAATTGCATACATGGTGCCAGGAGTACACAAATGTACTAAATACAGGAGTACACAAAGGTAGCAACACATGAGTACACAATGGTACAAATACAAAAGTGCACGAATACACTAATTCAGGAGTACAAAATTGCATTAATACAGGAGTACACACTGGTACTAATATAGGACTGCACAATTGCACTAAATACAAGAGTGCACGAATGCATTAGCACAGGAGTGCATAATTACACTGATACAGGAGTGCATAATTGCACTGATACAGGATTACCCAATGGTACTAATACAGGAGTGCAACAAGTGCTCTATGGCTTTTTTATATCAAATCACATACCATTCCTTTTTCATAAATATCCTTAGATACTAATATATCAAATTATCATATACATATGCGTTGGGCAGTTCATACCCGAAATCATTTATAACCATGTAGTAAAATATCATATAAGTTGCATTGAGTAGTTCATGACCTAAACTTTTCATTTCCACATAACATAAGTATATCGTGAAAACATCATGTATCACTTTCCTTTTTGTCGTATGAACATCATATTTCATCATATGATAAATGTCATAATTATCATGCCAATATAATAGAGTTGGCTCATTTCAAATAATTAAGATGGCATATAATATAAGAGTATCATAAAATGCATAATTTACCTCGATTTTATATTTTGACAGTTTGCACTACCCTCAAAGAAATATTATTCTGTATTAATCTAGAGACTTAAAAATTAATCCATTTGTACCATTAGAAACTAGACTCGAATCTAATCTAAATATATAAGGCACTTCTTTTAGTTCAACGTATACAAATTATGACCAATTTTTAATCCAACATATATAATCTGTTTTGAGCAGAATCTGCATCCCAAATTTCTGACCTATCATCGGTTAAAAATTCATATCTTTTTGTATACACTTCTAAATTAGTAGTTGTTTGTTTTAAACAAAACTAGATCGATTTACGAATCCAATGGTATAAAATTATTTTCTAATCATTCTTGTAGAATTTATAGTGATTTTATAACCATACTATTCAGATTACTAATTTAGGTAGATTTCACTAATTTGCATCCTTAGTTTATTCACTAATTCTATTAGCTTGTCAAATGAACATATATACATGACTCAAAAAAACATATAATTTAGGAGTCACTTGTTACCATTTTAGTCAAAATGATCCCTTGTCATTAACTTTAAATTCAATGATCAAATAACATAATCAAGTATCCAAATAATACATGTAAGATTAATAAATAAAACTCAATACAATTCTCATTTCAAACCACAATTAAACATTTCTTTAAAATCCATCCTAATATTTCAAAAACTTCCCAAAAATAGTCCATCACTAATAACTTCAATTCCATCTTAATCACCATATTCAAACATTATAGCAATATTTCCAAACTAGTACACCAAGATTTTCTTAATTATCATTTAATTCCCAAATTTATACAACCTTCCAAAATGATCCAATTGAACTTTCTAACATTAAATTTCAGCATAGAACATCAACTTTCAAACCATTATAATTCAATCATTCAATTTTTCATAATATGCGAAATGATCCCTATAACTTTACAAAGTTCCAATTGATCCAATTAACTTTCTAAAGTATATAGAATTATTCTTATATCCATGCTAACCCCTTAGGAATTTTTTGCATATTTTCCCCTAATTTCTTCACCATGGCCGAATAATATGGATTGAATTTCAATGATTTTCAATTTGATTATGTCATCACCCATTTTATCCGGGTGGTGACACGCACGTGGTATTTCATATTATAATATATAATATAATAAATAATGTGGGCATAGTACATATATTGTAGTTTATGCATTAAGTGCACTATATCATATAGTTTCATTTTTGCATACTAAAAAGTTGTATATATTAGGTAATAAATAATAATGCATGTTATTAATTCATATAGTATTGCATGTTATTGTAGATATTAAATAATTAGTATATTACATAGTTCATATTGTGTAGTTAGTATGAACTATATAGTTTGCATGTTATAATATTAGCCCATTTCATTTTTATTTTAAATAAATACAAAACCCAAAAATAAAGGTCCATTGCATTAATAAATAGGTCCATTTCCATAGTTTTTAAGAGGCCCAAGTGTTAGCACACATACATTTCATAAGTATATACAAATAAAAAACAAAAAACAAAAACCCTAATTCTATACATTGTGCCGCCAATTTTTTAGGGAAAATGGGGGTTGTTTTACTTTTTCTTTTTGAATGAGATAATATAATTAATGGTGGTGTTGCTTTTTAGGTGTGATGATGTTACCCTCTTGATCTTTGTGAAGACATTTGGACCATTGATGAGCCATAGATCTAATGGCATAGTTTTTTAACACATCACTTGTCCATGTAAAAAACACAAACAAATCTCCACCTTTGATAAACTTTGATTAAGGGCCATATTTGCTTCATTCCATGTGAAAGAAGCACAAATTCATAGGAGCCCTTGGATGAGAAACTAGATCCAATGGCTCACATGAGGCCACATCATTCAATCCAAGTGCGAAGTTAACAATAAATCTCAACCATTAGATTAAAGATGGATCCAATGGCCATGCTTCATATTCTTTAAAGGATCACCGGTGTCACTACCGGCCGAAAGGTTCACCTGAGCGTTGTTGGTGTGTGTTACTCACGTGTCACTCCGGTCATCTCCTTTAGCAAGCCACCATCGTACCATCACCGTATCACTGTCGCTCTACCTCCGTGCTCCATCTTCATCGGAATTAGAAAAAATTAAAGCTTCTAAATGTTCCGAATCCAGAGTCGTTGCAACCATTTTTCTCAATGGTTTTGAGCGAGAATAAAAAAATCAAGAACCAAAATCATCAATATAAATAGGCTTCAATCATTATCATTAACAACACCAAGATTTAGCAAGAAAAAGAATCATTAAAGGTTGAAAGGAAGAAGGAAGGGAATCTTACCATCTTCGGAGGAAAGAACATTTTTGGGCGAGTCTTATTTTTTCTTTATTTTCAGTTCGAATAGATCTTGGGTTGGGTGAATTTCGAATGGCGGTTTGGGTGGCTGGTGGTCGGCCGGTGGCCGGAAGATGTTTCGGTGTCGGGTTTAATGGATGCTGGGTGTTTGGGTGGTGTTTTAAGTTTAAGGGTTTAAAAGAGTTTGGTTTAGATTTGGGTGTTCTTTGTGTTCTTGGATATTTTAAGGGAAAAGGTTGGGTTTAATCTTTGAAAAACAAGTTTGGATGGTTTTTGGGTGTTGTTGGAAGATCAAATTGTTTTTGGAAGATGAATATTTTATATTTCTTAGGAAATATCTGTGTTTGATCTACTAAAAACTAATTTCGGGTGAATTTTGTATTTTGGATCAAAGCTTGGTTTTTTTATGAACAAAAGGATGAACATAAAGAACAAATGAAGAACATGTTGGTGTGTAGGTGATTTTCGGTTGGGAGGCTAGAGAGGATTTTATAGGAGTAAAATTTTTGGAAGTGTAAAAATGAGTTTTCTTCTATTTTTTTAGTCTTATAGTTTAAAATTTTTGGGGTTAATTGTTTCATTAAAACACTCAACAATACGCATATTTTTGGTTTGGGATGTGTCTTTTCATTTATTTTATTTTAGTCCCCCAATGCTTGTAATTTATTCCATGAACTTTAATTAAGGTCAATATAGTCATCAATTTCATTCCAATTGCTTTAATTATTTTATCAAATGTTTTTAATTATTAATATTGGCTACCAATTTTTTAATTCTTTTAAAATGATCATGTGTTTAACATAAAAGTAACACCTTTAGGTTTTTTAATCTTTTAATTTGATCACTAATATTAATTAGTCTTAAGATTAATCCTTGGACTTTAAGTTCTTTAGTTATTAATTAAAACCTTAGTTTAGGTTCCTTAATTAGAAATCAAATAAGTTTATTATTGTCCTTTTAGGTTTAGTTTCCTTAATAATATTGAATATTCATTTATTCCTTACTATTGAAACGGTGGTCTTAAAATAACTAGACATTCATGTTCAATATTTTTTCAAATAAATGAATATTGTATCCAGTGATCACCCCAAAAATTGAGTAGGTTCACTAATTTTAAACGAAAGGGTAGAGGTTCGTTCTTACATTTAAATTGCTAAGGACGAGTTCTTTGATTAACGTTAAAGGCTTGGCCTTCATTCTTTAAATCAAGGAACATCCTTATTCTTTTAAATAATAATTTGCCTAATTTGTCACCTTTAATTTTCTTTTAGGGTTTAACAATTGAATAATTCTTTAATTTTTAGGATGACAATATTTCATTGTTTCGAGTAAAACATAAGAAATAATTGCATTAATTTTGATTATGGGGTTAGTGTCTTCTTTAATTAGAAATAACAAGTATTGTGCGTCTCTCTAAAACTTTTAAATATTTTAGGGAATAAATGGATCATTAACTAAATAAATATTTGAATTTCTTAGTTTCTAATATATGGATATATTTATAATCGGAGATACCAATTTTGGGCATTGTGGGGTGCTAATCCTTCCCCAAACGTAATCGACTCCCGAACTCAAAATCTATAAAAGCAGATTAAATCGCTCCGTTTTAAATTTTTTATTTAACAGGGCGTATCTGATTTTTCAACCTTCCTAATCCCAAAGGTTGATGGTGACTCCCAACGCTTTAAATATTTTCATTTTTTTAATTTCGATCTTTTTAATTTATTCTGAATATCCATATTTTTTAGAAAAAAGTCGTCACGAAAAATTCAAACATGAATTCAACCTTCATTCATCATTTACATGAAATCCCAATAATATTTGATTCAACTTCAATTCAAACAACCAATTTCCTCAAAAACACTAAGCATGGCCAAAACTTCTATAAGTATTTCTACATGATTTTAATCATCACACACATGGAAACAACGCTACTACATCACTAACATAAAAATCCAACCTTAAATCATTGAATTTCTCCTTCATCCACCAATTTCATGAAATCAATCTTCCAAGCAAGAATAACACAAAACATTTATATCAAATGATAGAGAAATTGATGTAGGTTATTTTTCTATTTCATGTATTAATTCAAAAAATCGAAAGAAGTGACTTGAAAATTGAAAAAAAAAGTCTTACCTAACGGGAAGCTCACGGTAAGCTTGAAGAAATTGGAGAATTTTTCTTGAAAATACTATGAAAAAATCTTATAAAATCATCTTTTAACCACTTAAAATGAATATAAAATTTATTTAATTCTAATTTACCATTTTACCATTACTAAAACATAATAATTTCCACATTGATATTGTCATGACATCATCTTACTAACATCATCTTCAAAGTCAAACATGAATAAACTATTCCATACTTTTCAATTTATCCTTGTAATTTTTAAATATAAAAAATTAGTCACTATAATTAAACAATCTATGATTAATATGGAAATATCAATCTTCATTCCATTGATCCATGTTAATTTCTTCTTTAATAAAATATGAAAATAATATTACTAAACTCATACTTTCATCCTTTAAATTCTCCTAAATTTCTAATTCGATCCGGTTATTTGAATATTTTATCATGCTTTATTGCTTCATAGCTTTCTATACAAACTCCGGATCCAAATCTGAATTCCATAGAAATTACATTCTGAGGGATGAACTCTTCATTTATTAGATAAAATTTCTTTTTGGGAAAATTATTATATTGGTCCTTAAACTTTTCCTAAGTTTTTACTTTAGCCACTTGCTAAAAATTTTGGGGTATTACATAGTCGATCGAGCATATCGATGGGGAAGAGTAGTCGAGCGCCTAACACCATCTAAACATCTCAAACTTCGGTTAAGATGGCCAGAGACTCACGCGGGTCGTGGAGGTCTCCATCTTCTCAGTCCCATATGTCAGAGTAGAGTTTTGTATGCAGACATGGATTTGAGGGCTATAGGAGGCCACTAATTTCAGCCTATGTAGTGAGCACGAGCGTTTTAACCAAGATCATACAACCTCTAACATGCAGACAATGTGGTAGGAGGCACTCTAGGGAGTACCATAGAGTTTCTAAAATGTGTTACAGATGTAGATCTCATGAACACGTTATGAGAGATTACCACGAGGTAGGGAGAGTAGTATTATCGATTTTTAAAGATCAACTAAGACTGTACAGAGGGGATCAGATCCTTTTATAGAGGGGGTAGTTTAGCTTTTGAATAGCAGAGTAAAGGTACCACCAGATTTGTAGTTGGGCCTGAGGCTAGGGTTACCTCTCATTTGTATGTCCTTTAAGCCGATGAGGACTGTGAGGACACTAAAGTCATATCAGGGATCTTTATAATTGTTGGTATACCATTTACTGCTTTGGTATACCAGAGTTCAACCCATTCCTATATTAGTCATGAACTTATTTGAGAAAGGATATTCCAGCTGAGGATCTAGAAATTATAGTTTGATTTTACAGTCCTTTAGGATTAGATGTGTTAGTGGACAAGGTCTATCGTATGTGCCCGATGAAGATTCAGGGACAAACTTTTCCAGCCAACTTAATGTCCTTACCATTTCAAGAGTTTGATGTAATCCTAATAATGGATTGGTTATTCGAGCAGAATGCAAGTTTGAGGTGTAGGACCAAGATCGTGATGGCGAGGAAGGTGCTCAGTTGTTCCACGAAGATTGTTTCGAACTTAAAAGAACCACAAGTTGATAAGCTTTGGTTATGAAGCATTCTTGGCTCACGTGGTAGACATTCATTTTTGAGTCCGATATTAGAGGAAATTTATGCAGTGAGAGATTTCTCAGATGTATTATCGAAAGAGTTACCAAGATTGCTACCTTATCGAGAGTTATAATTGTGTATCGATGTTATGATAGGTTCATCTATGGTGTCCATCCCCTACCTCATACCACCAACAAATTAAAGGAAGTTAAGACCAAAATTTAAGAGCTCCTAGAGGGAGGGTTTATTCACCCAAGTGTGTCACTGTAGGGAACATGTTTTGTTTGTCAATAAGAATTATGGGTTAATGAAGTTGTGCATCAACTACCATCAATTGAATAAGCTAACCATGAAGAACTGATATTCACTTTCGAGGATCGATAACTTGTTAGACCAACTTAAGAGAGCCAAGGTGTTCTTCAAAATTGACTTGAGGTCAGGTTATTACCAGCTAAAAATTAAAGAGGACTACATAGCGAAGACTACTTTTAAGACTCGATATGGTCACTACGAGTTCTTAATAGTTCCTTTCATTCTTTCTAATGCTCCAGCTGTATTCATGGATCTGATGAATATGATCTTCCATCATTATTTGAATCAATTCGTTGTGGTGTTCATCGATGACATTTTAGTATACTCACACTTAGAGGAGGAGCATGATCGTCACTTTTGTATGTGCTATAGACCTTGAGGGAATGCTAATTATTCATTAAGTTCAGTAAGTTCAAATTTTGGTTGTCCAAAGTATCATTTTCGACAATATGGTGTCCACTGAGGGTATTCAAGTTGATCCTCAAAATATTCGAGTAATGGTAGAGTGGGAACCACCACGGAATGTAATAGAGGTACATAGTTTCCTAGGGCTTGGTGGATACTACCGCCATTTTGTTAAGGACTTTTCGATGATTTCCACTTTGATGGCTAAGCTATCGCAAAAATAGATACCTTTTATTTGGGATGATAAATTTTAACAAAGTTTCGAGAGACTAATGAAGGTATTGACTCAGGCATAAATGTTAACTCAATACGAGTCGGGCAAAGATTTCACCGTGTTTAGTGATGCTTCGTTTAAAGGTTTGAGTTGCGTATTGATTCAAGAGGGTCGATTGGTTTCTTATGTTTTCAGGAAGCTTAAATCGCATGAGCACAACTGCCCCACACATAACTTGGAGCTAGTAGATTTAGTTTTTGCCTTGACGATTTGAACGCACTACACGTTTGGAGAGAAACACTACATATTTATCAATCACAAGAGTTTGAAGTATTTGCTCTCTCAAAAGGAGTTTAATCTGAGGCATCGACATTGGGTGGAATTGTTCAAGGATTATGATTGCGTGATCGTTTATCACTCTGGTAAAAAATATGTAGTGGCTGATACTTTGAGTCGTAAGACAGTTGATCACGTATAAATGTATGTTGTGGCACGTAAATCTATGCAAGTATACACAATCGATACAAGTAATATAATAGTAAGTTAGTTATCGTCTCCAAAAGGATTTATGGGAATTTTTTAAATTTACAACAACTAGAACTAGGTGTCACTAATTAATCCTATGATTATTGTCTAAAAAGCAAATAGTAACAAAGTATATGAACAGATGGAAAAATATTGTCGAAGAAAGAAAGATTGTAACATCCAGTGATCAGAAAAGTTTGTTCGAGGTAATAAAAATATACAAAGGTAAATAAATAAAAGTTGTAAAGATAATGAAAATGTTCGAGTATCAAATATTCAGAAAAACCTCACACAATCAGACTTATAACGGAGAACTTGGGTTGGACATGC